GTTCCTCTCTAAGGGGAGGCTGTCCCCACAATCTACCACACTCTGCTTGTTGCCTATTTGAAACTTCACTGCTGTGCTTGGCCTTCTTCCTCCAAGGAAGATGCAAAGAGGAGCCAGCAGCAGCTGGCACAGGGGAAGGCAGCTGAGGGTTGTTTCACCATGTGCCAGGGGCAACCACAGGCACAGAGCTGTCCCCCACCTCTCTGAGCTGCCACGGCTACTGGCACCTGCCTCATTACCTAATTAGGGACCTGCCTAATGCTCCAGGTGTCAAACCCACTGGCTGCTCCAAGGCCTTTGCTGCTCAGGGCAGTACAGCTGTCTGTAAAAAGGGGCCTACAGCCAAGTGTAGGGGCTGTTCAGGGGAGTTCATCAACGAGCCTGCACCATGTTCATGCACAGAAGTCACTGGCACCCATTACAGAACACCTCTTGGAAACAATAAAGAGATCCCAGCTACTGGCAGGGAATTTTTCAAAAGCCAGGGTTAAAACTGGTCTGTCAAATGTTCTGCAAGCAACACCTCCCTACTGAGCTGATGCACTCACAGCTCCCACCCCAAGAGAAAACACATTAAGAAAAGCAAGGGATCAATCTAATTACTTTAATATGGTCCGTAACGATGAGCAGGACGACGCTCAGAACTGGATCACCTGGCCCTGTAAGAAACAAGAGACAAGAGTGAGTTTATTCACCACTGAGTATTGCCCCCCCTTTCTCAGCCACTCACAGAATACAAACTCACCTTTCTCTTCTTGTCTCCTCCCAGCTCAAAGTGCTTGCACCTCTTAATTGCCAGCATCCTCTTGGACCTGCAGTTAGGCTCCACACACTCCAGCCTCAGCACAATCTTCTTGGTGGTCTTGGCCTAGGAGGAGGAGCAGGGTGTTTCAATGAACCCCACATTCCCAAGCAGACAAACCCTCAGGGAGAGCTTGTTCCCTGCACTGCTGAACATTCAGTTTGTCCCCAAAGCATAGAGAGAGACTACAAACACAGGTAGGCTCCCTCCACTGAAAAGGATCAGTACAGGAGTGAAGTGGATTGGTATCTTCACAAAAAGGGCACTGGCAAAAGCATTCAGTGGGGCAGGGCTGGTTCCTGCAGGGATCAGCCATGCTGGAGAAGTCTGTTCTACTGAACAGAGTTAAGAAACCCACACTTTTAGTGTGGAAGCACAGACCAGCAGTGCTCAGGAGAAATCCAGAAGAAAATTGGAAAAAAGTAACAGCTGCAAGCAACACCACTGGCAAACTTTCTCTGGAAGGAGCAGTGACACAACAGGCTCAGTGCAGACCTGCAGCTACTCAGAAGCTGGATGGAACCTAAAAGACTGCAGAGGGGAGAATCCAAAGCTGGGAGGCTGCTGTAGCAGCTGGACAGGGCTGTAACCACCAGCTAAAAACCTGCTAAAAACCTCAGCCAAGCATCCATACAATGCTGATTGGGAAAAAACAGAAATGAGAATTGCAATGTACAGGTAGAGAGTGCCAGCAGTGCAGCTGCTTGGTGTACCCTGCTTGCAGAAGCATTTTCTGAGAGGTCTCCCCACTTCCTGGCACAAAATCAACTTGAAACCTGCTGCCTCATTTTTTCTTCTTGCTGGAAGGCTTCCTGTGCACCTCCAGCAGGACACCAGGGCTTCCCAGCAACGAGCCAAGCAGCATTATGAGCATAACTAAATAATTCACACAAAGTAACAAACCCACCCACTGGGGTTTGCTTCCCTGCTGTAAATACCACACCAAGCAAGCAGACAGCTCCTTTCCCTTTGCCAAGCCCTTCCCCTTGGGCAAGCAGTGAAGGAAACGTTCCTTTCACTGCAAATATCCCACTCCCCTGCAGCACCAAAGCTGAGAAGCTGCTCTGCAAACATAGCCCAAGTCACCCTGAAAATGAGGAGCATCTCCATGAGACAGCACAGCAAGGAGATGAGCTGTGCTCTTGATGGGAGCTTACAAGGGATAAAAAGAAGGATTTTACCTGAGCACAGAGTGACAGGGCAGTGGGAAATGGCTTCACACTGATAGAGATTTAGATTAGACAGTAGGAAGAAATTCCTCCCTGCGAGGGTGGGGTGGCCCTTGCACAGGTTACCCAGAGAAGCTGTGGCTGCCCCTGCATCCCTGGCAGTGTCCAAGGCCAGGCTGGGACAGTGGAAGGTGGCCCTGCCATAGCAGGGGGCTGGAATACAATGGTCCCTTCCAACCCAAGGCATTCTGTGATGATGAGGGGACACCTGCAGTGCCAGCACAACACTGCCCTAACACAGCCAGAGCAGAGCACTGAGGAACCCCCTCAGCTGGGCACAGGCTGCCAGGGAAGTTCCTATTCCTGAGGAGCAAACTCACTCACCTTTTTACGGAAGATGGGCTTTGTCTGGCCCCCGTACCCGCTCTGCTTCCGATCATAGCGCCTTTTTCCTGTGGGGAAAACAGCTCTGGTCAGGCAACAACTGAGGAGATGCTCCAGGCACAGCTGGCACTGCCTAAATCCCTGCACAGCCCAGCTTGAGCCTGCACAGTCCAGCAGAACCAGTGCCACGGCTCTTGTGCTGTCCCCAAAAGTGGAACCTTCCCCTCACTGCGCACCCAACAGACACACAAGGTCAAGGCACTCGATTTATTCAGTTCTGTGCAGAGAAGGGTGCAGCACGGTAAAGCCAGCACACAAAGGGCTGAAAATATTTATACAGTCCTGTTCAGGTGGTATTTGTATAATTGATCCACATCAGTACAGGCAGACCTACCACTGGATTCACTTACTTTCACCTCAGCACATTTTAAACTCATAGCAGGGCTCTCCCTCAGCTGGCCAGCCTGGGCTCCAGTTGAGCTTTCACAGCCAGCCAGGTTTACCCAGAGCACATTCCATAATTAGTTAAACATTTCTATGCGACAACCATCCGAAAGTGCCTTGGGCTAACACGTCCTTAGTCTTTCTCCCTTTCTCCTATTTTTATAGTTCCCTTTATTGTACAGCACATCCTTTAGGCCAAGCTGTCCTCCCCAGCCATACAAATGTTCCCAATGTACACCAGCCGTGCAGGGCACACCACACCCGGACCGCACTCAGCTCCCCGGGGCCCGGAGCGAGCCCGGGCTCACCCTGCGCGTAGAGCGAGTCCTTCCCCTTCTTGTACTGCGTGACCTTGTGCGGCTGATGCTTCCCGCACTTCTTGCAGTACGTCCGGCGGGTTTTCGGCACGTTCACCTGGAGGAGAGGGAGAGAAGCCGGTCACGGCCGCTGCGCATACGCCACATCCCGCTCCGAAGGCCCCGCT